TATTTAGACCATTTGTCAACAATCAGTGAGGCTAGTAGATCCATATCTTAGCTATGATAAAATGCGTCATTTCTTATTGGACCACTTCAGTTTTGACCAGCTGTAGCTGTGTTAGTTTTTAATTCCCGACGTAGCCACTCGAACCAATTATCGAACTAGTCCGCGTACCCACTCGTGGGTAAGGGAGAAGAGACGGCTGAAATTCAGACTACTGATCGAGCTTAATCGAACTTAGTCGAATTTAATCGGACTATTAGGTTCGATTGGGTTAAGCAATCGAACTCTTACAAATGACGGTCGGTGGTCGAAGTTGGAATACATTTGATTAAAAATAGGGGTTATCCTATGTGCGAAAAAGTGCGTGTTTTGCTGAAGGTTTCCTTTTTCTACGTGTCTTACGAACTATTGCAAGTTATTGTCCAACTACAGCGGATACCGTGCAAATAACAGTCCAAATGTACAGCGATATTGTACAGTTATTTGTACAGTAGAAAACCTGTTTGCCGTACGGGTCGGCGCGCGGACGCAAAACTGTCACACTCTCCCTCTCTTCATTGATAAATTTATTGATTACAGCAGTTGGATAATAAATCTCTCATTAGATGTTTTGGTGTGTAGTATCGCTGTATATTTTTACTCGTTGTTTGTATTTTGACGAGCCCTACGTGCCCGTCAAAATACGGCGCAACTCGTAAAAATATACAGCGATACTAAACACCAAAACATCCAATAAGATATATGCATTTCTGCGTGAGAACATGCACATAGTACCTCGTTATGACATATTACCCTTACGTAATGCAAGCTTAATCCGGGCTAAATCCAGTAACAAGGTCCCCTTGTCACTCAGCCTCTAATCCTCCGTGTTTTATTATTATTTTAATTGTTCGTTTCACTAATTCTTTGTTGGCCTTGCATGTTAGGAGAGAAAAGCTTGTCTATTTCTAGCGGTCAGTTTACAACGCTCGATGAAGTTCCACTGTGTTCGATTGGGTTCAGAAACTGAGCGCAATTGAACTCTGACATAAATGTTTGGGTTGGATATTGTTCGATTGCCGAAATTCGGATTGAACTAACAGTATAGACGAGCCGATATCGAGGTCTTAGGTCAAACTCAACCCAAACAACCTGGCAAAAAACAATAAAGATAACAGACGAATTAATCTCGGTGCGTTCTCAGTCATTGAAAATTGCCAGTCTCCTTAACTGATCTTTGAACCTTACGGGCCGTATCAAAGTGGTAGCTACAAGTTCAGCTGTAAATTAAAGCAGCAAATATATTCAGATTTTCAGTTTCGTCCGCCGGAGCTCCGGTGGTACTCCAAGAAAAATTTGGTGGGGGTGTGTGGCCCGCTTCCCAAAACCCTCACCCTATTTATGACCAAAATCTGCGATTTTCCTTACCCTATTTAAGACCGGACCAAAAGTTGGATATCTTATTTATGACCGTTGCGGCTGACACAGTTGCCCTAAACATAATTTTTGAAAGGCTTTTGTTTATGGCCTCCTCGATATTGATGTAAAGGAGCTTCTTCTTAGCAACATACCCAGTTCAAGACTAAAGTACAAAAACCATATCCTATTAAAACCAATATGGCCAAAATCGATACTCTATTTATGACCAAAACGGCTGAAAAACCATACCCTTTGGGTCCGCACATACCTATACTACCAGGAGCCATAATCGGGGACGGAGACCGCAAGTCTCGGGATTCGCGCGCACCTATGATATGGGACAATTTTTCTATTTTTAGAACAAATTGCG